CCTGTAGAGGCGGTTCGGTGCCTCACGCAACACCTGGTCCGTAGCGACGGTCTGTTGCCTCGCCCCACACCTGGTCTGTGGTGGCGGTCTGGTGCCTCGCCCCACACCCAGTCTGTAGCGGCGGTCTGATGCCTTGCCCCACACCTAGCCTGTAGAGGCGGTCTGGTGCCTTACCCCACACCTAGCCTGTAGAGGCGGTTCAGTGTCTCGCGCAACACCTGGTCTGAAGCGACTGTCTGTTGCCTCGCCCCACACCTGGTCTGTGGTGGCGATCTGGCGCCTCGCCCCATACCCGTCTGTGGTGGCGGTTTGGTGCCTTGCCCCACATCTAATCTGATGGCGGCCTGGTGCCTCACCCCACACCTAAACTTAAGATTGCTGCAAAACATAAACATTGGGCTAACTGCCCCCTGTGACACGCAAACTGGCGCAGCTCCACGAAAAGCGTTCGCAGTAAGAACTGAGTGCAGCCCCTGATCCAGGCCGGCCCAGGGCTGAGTGTGTCAACGACGAGTGCTGACCGTAGCCACGGCTTGCCTGAACACGCGCTCGGGTAGAGGGGGTCAAATTGACCCCCCCCCCCCGAAGGTTTTCAAGAATGATCTCCGAACGGCTCGGCGTAGCCGTGCCAAATGTTGCATAGCTATAGACAATTGAATAGCGGATCGTTTGACATCAAAAATTTAGATGTATCTTGTAAGGTCGCTGACCTATGGCAGGTCAAAGTTAGGCCATGGTTTCAGCGAAAGCAACTTCCAGGGAATCGTCCAGTCTGATACAATAACGGAGTGTTTGACGAAGCCATACATCTCTGAGATGCTTTCTTAGGCACCACAAATATTGAATCATCAAATTACGTTGACCTAAGGTCATGTATAAAGGTCAGACCAAGGTCAAAACCAGCCTGATTTATTACTGTAGGGCTTGCTGTATGGGATAGTTTGTGGTGCTTACTTCGAATTTATTGATAGCACGAACCGCATTATACATCTTCCATTGACTTCTTAGAGATCGGAACAGGGCATTGACCTAAGATGACCCGGGTCGACATTTTGTTTTAGGAAGGTACTGCCTAGCGTAATCTTTGTCGCTTATTCAAATGCAAAACTCAGCGCAGTCTTGTATGATTTTGGTCACCATGACCTTCAAAAGGTCAAACAAGATTACTGGCCTCAAATGAGCCTGTGACTTTTTGCTTAGAAACAGTTACCTAGGTTGTGGGGGCACTTTGAAGACCATCCGGGAATTTGACCCTGTTTTGCCTCATTTGACCTGAAGGTCTTGACCTAGGAAGCTCAAATTGTGATCTAAGTGCGTTCACGTACAGGCCAAGACATCCTGTAAATTTGATGTCTCTAGCTTGCTTAGTTCCCAAGATCTCAGGGGGTCAAATTGTCCCCCCCCCCACACACACACCCGAGCGAGGGGTGTCTAGCCGGCCACCCGGGCGCGTGTTAACAACCGTTCCACCCAGCCAATTTTTTAGTTGTATTGTCAGTGCGACGAGCCAGAAATTCCTATCCCAAACGGCAGCTATTCATGCTCAACAAAGGGCACGAAACATGGCTACTTTTGCCCTTTGTGCTATCGCATAACCGGATGGACTAACATGGTGCTTCATGAGAGTATGCTTCTTGGTGGATTCTCGTCCCAATGAACTCAGGTCACAGTCAAAAGTGTGGAGAATTACAGCAGCGTAGGGAGAAAATTATTAGCAGAAGAAGGCGATAATAGACGAATGGGTAGATTGCGTTGTAACTTTCTTCACATAAAAGCTTAAAACCATCTGTGTTGACCCGATCTCACCGAGTTCATGGACGAGCCCAATTGACTGAATGAACGTTCCTAAACTTTTCTTAAAAGCGCATATTTGAAATCGCCTCATAGGTATAGCAGTTGTGTTAGTGCAGCCTCACAAATATACCAAAAATCTTTGGCAAGAAAAAAACGTTTTCGGTACAGTTATCGCAGTGAACTAAAGAGTAAGACAAGGCCTGTTTTCTCTGACAGTGGGGGACTCTATTGTCCTATTAGTCATGCACTGGAACCAAAAAATGCGCTTTAGACGCGTTCGAGACAATTTGTGAACGAAGGTAGTAGATATTACTTCCTGCGCAAATGTGCAGTTAGGTATGTTCATCGATGGCATAACACTCCCTCCAAAGCAAAATCGGCCCGAACTGACGCCGCTAGCTAACGAGAGCCGGCACACGTACCGGACCGCATGGAGAACGAGGACCAAGTGACGCAACCCCGAGTCAATAGCTCCTAATCGAGCGCTTCGGTTGGCTTCAGCCCACCGCATACGCGCAGCGTCGATGAGGAAATTCGGTCAACAGTGAGGGCATCGTGCGTGGTCACTACCGCTGCGCCCGTCACCCTGAGGCTGCCACCGCGCCCAGTCGGGCCTGAAAGGAAAGGTGACGAAGCGCACCGCAAGGACGGGCCGCGCGCGTTGCGTTACCCAAGCTCCGCGAACCGTGACGCAGTGATCCGGGCTGGTTCAGACCCACCGACAGAGAGGCGGCCGAGATGCGGCCTCAGATTGGGAAACTACCTAGTGAATGTGGATGGTTTGAATGGTGCCGGCGTCCGGGCGGAAAGTTGTTTTGTTTTCCTTCCAATACGGCGTCTTTGACGCCATCAGCAACAATGTCGTGCAGCAGCATGTCAGGCACACCATTTGTGGTGGCGTGGCCCTGGTATGATTTTTTGTTGGTGCCCCTTTTTTATAACAAAAATGTGATGAGTGAAAATGGTGCGCACAAGCTATCGTCAAAGGTCACGTGCGGCGAGAACCAGCGGAAAGTTGCATTTTGTATGTCACTGATTTTGTAGTAAATGTCTAAAAGCAAAAGCCGTAACCTGTCCACGAAATCTAAATAGCAATGGCTCAAATGGCATCGCATGGCGCAAATATTGAAATGTTTGTGGTAGTAGCCGAAAGCGGCAAAGCCAGGGAAATCCGTAGGCATTTGACGAGGCATATTTTCTGCTAGCAAAGCATAGAGGACATACCTCACTGGAATATGTAACATGTTTTGTGTGTGAGTGTGGAAAGAAGCAATTTTTGAACGGCATGTTTTGAACACCTTGGCGGAGAGCGATAATTGCTAGATTTTAAAATAATGGATGTGACTCCAGCGATGCATAAGTAATGATGATAGGGTTCCACAGATTCAATTTTAAGGGATGTTGGATGTACCGCACCGCTGGCATGTAAAATAATTCGCCAAATTATTTCAGATTTTTGGTACGGTACCAAAAATTCATCGGAATACGCGGCTGCTGTTGTCTGGGGCATAGGTACCAAAACGTCGTCATCTCTTGTCTCAAAATTTTGCATGCCTATTTGCTTGGCACCGTCAGCACCAGTCTAAATCTATCAGTGGAAAGGCAGTTTTGTAGTGGTGAATGCACAATTTTGTTGCTACCGTCCACAAAGAGATTTGGCACAATGTTTCGCGTATCTCGAAAAGGTGATTCAAATAATAACTCACCAACAAGCGTATAGTTTGGATTACTAGTTCAGATTTCTATCCGTTATTCAAGTGAAGACATGGTAATCATTTCAATGAACATATTTTTTGCAACGCGGAAGCGAAACGACTTGTTCTTGCACTATACGATGCTGTGACAACCTGATGCTCCGTTCGTCACTTTTTGGTGGCCATTTTGCAATCTATGTAACACCACGGATAAACAATCGAACGAAAACTCTTTGAAACACCACTTGTAGTGTGTCTGTGGCTTCCACTGCTCGCAATATTCTGTTTTTCGCTATCGTGAAATGTAAGACTGGTTAACACGCCCGGTAAAGCCCACTGATGAAATAATTTATACGGTTAGCGGTAAACACGTAACACGTAAACACGGTAAAAGTTGCCGGCTAAGTTGAGCATATGTTTTTATTTTTTGATTTCAACCAAAATATTTATATTTTTGAGATAGGTTTACCAGCAATTTGAACATGCTACACCCCAAAATCCATATTGATTTTTCGATTCAATTCATGAGGAGATCTGTTCGTCATCGTAATGACTTAATAATTAACGTAATGTCATCGTAATGACGTCATCGTAATGACGCGTCTTTTGTCCACCAAGATCGCAATCATCACCGTTTTGTAGGTGTTATTACGGGTAGCTGCGTTGAAGGCTGAACCTTCAGATTCATCAGCATGAGGTGCGTCACTTACGCACATAATTAAATGATGTGTGTTAACGCAGCCATGTCAAGTGCGTAAGCAAATCAATTTAGTTAAGGCATAGCATGATCACCCTCGTCATCAAGCCATGGTGGCAACCTGCTATTAAAAGGAATGTTTCACATTTTAAGATATTGAAGCAAGCGTCAGATATGATAGAACAAGTTCACTTATAACTGTTAGTTTACTTTTTAAGTGGAAAAGACTGCTCTAGGCAGCACAATCTATACTTAGTAAATATGCTCCTCAGTGTATCAAGGTTTAATTACGTCATAGTACCTTGCGCATCACTGATTGCTAGCCAATTGACGCCCATTATATCTGGAATTTTTTTTTTTGGGGGGGGGGCGTGATCACCGCATGGTTCTTGGAATGGCAGGATTGGAATGACGTTACTATGGCGTCATGAATGCCAAGGTGACTTTAAATGCCCCCATCCCCGATATCCTTTTCCCCATTTTGGCGAACGTTTAGTTCAGAAACTTGAGGGGCTTAGGTCTTAAGAAGGGCAGAATTGTGCACAGCACCAAATTGTCTTCAAGATGGCCATTTCCGTACAAAATCCCATATAAACGCGGAACACTCCCTTTAACATGTTCAAATGTGGAAGTGTGAGGTGTCCCACCGAGTGCAGCTTTTTCACTGCTAAATTTCTTACTTTACTAAGACAGTAATGACCCGCTGACTCGGTAAACTCAGTCCTTGTGCTTCAGCCGACAGGCGGCAGTATTCATGCTCAGGCATGCCCGATATCAACGCTGATGAGTGTAAACTAAGGAAATTTGCACCATGTTTTGTATTTTGCTGACTCGATGTGTTTTGCATGCACACGATCATAACACGCCTGCACTGCTGGCGTCAGCAATATTTGAAGAAAACGCTCATAGTGGCGAGTCATGGGAAAATCAGGAACTCGCATCGGCGAAATCTGGGCAAGACACTTCCAATGAGCAGACTATAAAACCCGCATCAATAACCACCGTTGTAGGCAAAACATTTGCCTGAAAGACTAGACATCCGAGCCAGCTCTGTTTTTGTCTGGCTCTGATCAGCTCAGTGTAGCTCCTCTGTCCTCTGCCAGCTCGCACCGGTTTCCACGTCTTCACGTCAGCTGCCTCCATCAGCCTGACGCTCTGGCCGCCGTCCAGCGATGCCGTCTAGGCCTCAGTGCTCAGGCCGCGCAGGTACTCCAGCATGGTCGGCATGGCGTGCGGGCAGTTGTGGAAGAGCTTGTTGCAGGAGTCGGCGCCGAACTTCTCGCCCATGAAGGCAGCGTACCAGTAGGCACCCTTGCTGGTCTGCATCTTCTCGAAGTCGACTCCGTCCAGGTCACGGCTGTGAGTAGATCCATAGCTGATCAGACGGGGCAGGTCGCGAGGAATGGACACCAACGCCAAACGAAGCACATCACCAACGCCAGACGAACCACGTCACCAACGGCAAACGGACGGCGCTACCAATAGCTGGTGATGATCTTTTGGTGAAGTGCGTCTGCCTGCGACTGCCCAGACGGCGGCGCGGTCACCGACTGACAGGTGACCGCCGAGAACGGCGGCACGGCGCCTGAGAGCGCGGTGAGGGGATAGTGCTAACACGACCCAGTCTGGCCGTATGACGGGTGCTCTGCCCCGCAACAACTGCAATGCATTCCCGCAGCTGGCTCATATGGCCATCAGGGCTCCGCAGGATAAGTAACAAAATAATGGATATACCCATTTAATACAGGTTAAAGGCAGCCTGCTCGTAGAACAGCTCATACTTTGCTAGGGGTTTGCCGCATCTGTGACAACAGAAAAGTGTCATTGCTGTTCACTCGTCCTCTGTCGGGCGATTAACCCCTCGTAGAGGGCCAGCACGAGAGCCGTTCGTTTTCAATCTCTGCCTTAGTTTGCACCTCTCGCCCACTCACCCGAAGAGGGCCGACACGACGGCCTCCTCGTCACTCAGCTCGTCATCGGAGCGAGCCTGGATCAGGCAGATGAACTTGAGCGCGCAGCCGAGCCGGTCGGTGGCGCTGACCATGTCCCACATGACCGACTCCCGGCGCACCGGCATCTCCACCGACCGCTTGCCGCGCCGACTGGCCAGCGCGATCGCGCCCACCAGGCCTGCCGAGCGCGACACGGGTCAGCACGGGTCAACGGCGGTCAGCACGGGTCAGCACGGGTCAGCAAGGATCAACGCCGCTTCCAAGAGTTAGTACGGGTCAGCACAGGCCAACGTAGGTCAGTACGGACCAGAACGGGCAAACACGGGTCAACACGGGTCGGCAGGGGTCAGCGCGGGCTGCGCGGGTCAGTGCGAGTCAGCATGGACCAGCAGGGAGCGGCAGGGCACAGCAGACGGCACAGGACAGCACAGAACGGGACGGGCCCGCAAGCGCTGTCAGGCGACACATCCCCGAAACCAGGGACATGCGCAGTGCGAACGAGCGACGCCATCAACAATATGTATGCAAGAATGATCGGAGAAGCGTAACTGCACGGAATGTCGCGATCCACCGAGGCATGGACCGCTTGTGACCTCAAAGAATACGGGGAAGATACAACCGTTTGGATTTGGGGGAACAGAATATTGTGGCACATGTGTGACCAGCCAGAGGTTTGGTTGGTGCGTGACGTCTGTGCAAAAGTCAGCAATACGTCGTGCGTTTTAAGTGTCACGTGCACGTCGTATGCCTCACGGAACACCAGTGACTCATCTCCCTCTGATGGAGTCTATTCGACTATAATTTTCTGGCCCATCAGCGCTTACAAACATCCAGTTACACCCATGCGCCAAGGATATGCACACATTACTGGACGGCCCGCAGAAACCCATGCGAAAACAACAAACAAAGCAATCATCTGGGCACGCCTCCTGAGTAAGGTCGTGTCGGGCAAGCCTGCCACACCCAAACGTGACCCGCCGCGCGTCTGAGCGTGTCGCACTTCACCACAGGACTGCGGGGTTGGGGCGCCGCCAACTCACCAACGCCGAGCGCCAGGCCGCCGAGCGCGGCCAAACCGGCGGCGCCGGCCGCCGTGCCGGCCGCCACCGTGCCCGTCGTCGAGCCGATGATAAACGTCGAGTCGACGGCGCCCAGCAGGGCCAGCACGGTGAGCAGGGCGACGCGCATGGTGAGACTCGGTCGGCGGCGGAGACTGTGGTGGCTCGGCTCGTCCCAGCCGCCGCTATATACGCTCACCCCTCTCGCCGCGCATCGGCGCCGCCGTCGGGCGCCGCCTTTCGCTGGCCGTCGGACGCGCGCGGCGCCGTTGTGACACGTGCCGTCCTCCCGAACGGCGGCGCGCCGGCGACGCCGCCACCGGCGGTGACGTAACGGCCACCCGGCGCGCGTCCTCCGCAGCCGCCGGCGCCGGCTGCCCGGCCCGCGGCGAGGCGGACACGGCACCGCGCTCTTACCGCTGACGACCGCAGGAGCCGACGGTGACGGCGCACGTTCGTGGCGCTCCGGCGGCGTCGGCTGCGCAGGACGATTGGCTGAGGCGAGCGTTGTGAAACGGCCGAGCGCCGCTGGAAATGTTGACGCGGCGTTCTTCACGAGTGAGATCGCGTCGAGTCCATTCCAGGGTCAGGAGCTGTTGCCATGTGGAAATCGCCACCTCCCGCTGGCCGTGCCTTTCAGTTTAATTGATCGTCTCCCGCGCGTTTTGTTCAGCGGAGGGAATGGGGCGCAGGGTTCTGACGCAAGCCCGAGAAAGGCACGCTCGATCGATCTGCTGGGCCAGCTTAGACGATTGGCCCGACGGTAAGACTTCATAGCTCAGTCGCATGGGTCGTAACACAAATTGAAAGAAAATTATGCATTCCTACAGTACACCAAACAACTTACAGGCTTTTGAACATGGCAGCTTGTACTTTGCCCCGGTTTTATGGCCGTTACTGTGTGTAAACAAATAGCTGCGTTTAAGTTGCGTTGTGCGACACGCTTTGTTCACATTAACAACTTTCCCCTGTTAATGACAAGATCTTTTGGCGAACGGCATGCTTTGCAAGATGCATTGCCCTCCTGCACCACGCATTCTGATGGATGAGTATGAATGTGTAAACTGACAGGACGTATGAATATCTTTTGCATTAGAGCAGCTATGTTGACACTAGCCAAGAAGCCCAGGCTTTCAGAGGTTTTAAAATAAGATTTACAAAATCCTGTTTCTTGAGACAGGTGAAATACGCCCTTCTAGCGTGCCACTCGTATATTGCGGTGCACCAGTGTATACATGTCCACACGTGCATAGCACTTCGCGTGCTTTGAGATTATGGGCTTGGAAAGGGCCCTGTTATCTCCCCTTACTATTATCAATATTTTGCACACTCGGCTGAACTATATACATGACAAACATTTCGTCCCATAGGCATTCTCCAAAATAGCGCCGATTCTGGTTTGGTGGCTCTTCCGTGGATTACAGCTAAACTAAACGTTGCACTGATGTTAACATACTTTGAATTCACACGTTTCTGTGTTACTCTGCTGAAAGTCATTCCAACATGGAACGATAGCAGGCACAATGCTGCCCAATGTCATGCTAACGGACGTATCCAAAGTGCAGCTATATGAGCCTTTGCTGTCACTTCGGTGCAGTTATATTTGAAACTCATGTGATCAAAAAAGATGAAAAATTCACGGCACAAAAGAAAAGATGAGAAAAGATGAAATATGATCAAAATTCACGACGAAACGGGCGCCAGCCGGGCGAATGCAGCATGTAAACTTCGGGTTTCCCTTCGTCAGGACTTCTGGACGGACGCTAGTATTTGCACTGAGTAACATTCTAGTGCTTAGCGATCCGGAATTGGCCGAATGATTTTGGGTGATACGCATTTGCCTGTCATTTGACCCAAGACCCAACCTTGAGTGTCGCACGACATTGCGTGGCGCTGTGACTGAAATAGGCGCTTGTCGTTAACAAATCGCTACTAATTTAACCCCGGACTTCACTGGCGTGTAAGCGAGCCCGCTCGTGCCGCTGCCATTGTCGCCGCAGCCAGGCACACAAGGACAGGGGACCGGCATAGGAGGTTCCAGTCAGTTGGAACAGGTGTTTCGGCGCAGGTCGTGGTGTGCGCGGTTCAGTCAGCCGCCTCGGGCGCGACGGAAGGGTGAGCATGACAGATGGACGGAGGTTAATGGGACCTGAACGGGTAACAGCGCTGCGCGCTGGGGTGTTTCCATGACGCAAGCGCCCAGGATGCTGCGGCGCGGATCGGCGGCGAACGACGCGGATGCGGCGGGACGATGGTGTTCTGTAAAAACACATGGGGGCGTGGACAGAAGGAAATGTACAGCGGTTAGCGCGATCACGGTTTTTCAGGAACGGACGCTGGCAGAGGGGTACTGCTAATGACATATCCAGCTGGAATTCTTGAATGACATCCAAAAATCCCTTTACCTGATTTGTTAGGTTGTTTCCTGCATGGAGAGGCGTTACGGCTTATGGCGAAATGCGACTCCGTGAAGTGGAAGTAAAAAACAGTGAAACTATACCCAACCATGTGGTCTTTCACGGGGTGCTTCTAAAACTCGCACCGCGCGAACAATGGCTGCTTCACGCCCGTTGTTTAGCGTATTACACCGTTGGAAAGAACTGACAAATGCAGCAGCGTTTTGAGAGCTGAAGTCTGGAAAAAGATTGGCAACATACAATAACAGCATCACTAGAATCGTCATGGCAACCGCAACAGCATAGATTAGGTCATGGGAATTCTCGCCCCCACGCGGCACGAGAAACAAGGAGATTTAAGCAGAACTCGGTTACGAGGCGTTGGGACACGCTTTGCAGCCCGGATTTCTCGCCCTCCAGTTTGCACCCGTTCAGGAAGTTGAAAATGCCTTTGAAAGTTCCTCAATTTGCCCGCCGCAGTAATGCATCACGCCCATTGAATGCCAGTGTTAAAGAGATGCCTGAAGATTGTCTGAACATGGTCGCTTGCAATCTTGCTGCCGCACGGGGAAAGAAGCAATTAAAAAAAGGGAGGCGCGTAGATTATCGATACTTCACATCCACACCATAATATGATTTTCAACAGCCATCTGTCTTTTTAGAAAGTAAAATCGTAACGCAATGGGTGATGAAAACGTAGCGTTTGGGGCGCTGTTGGAGCTCCAGAGGGCACTCTTTATCCCTTACCCACTCTGGCTACGGGCCTGAGCAATGTACTGCATGACAAGGAATACATAGAAATGACCCACAATGACTGCAAAAGAGAAATGTTCTGCATCATCAAGTTTCCTGCACCAGCGATCTAAGAGCGTCTCGCAGTATAGCCGTTTTCCCGAAGGACTACGACAAAAAACTTCTGAAAACTTATAAGAAGTTTCGTTGATTATTTCAGAGCGATCAGATTTCATGAGCAATTTCCAGCTAGAAATGCACTGAAGAGATTAAAGGCGCGTTTTTTAAGATGTAGATGTTGGTTAAACTGTGGTTTCTAAAAAAGGGAGAGATTTTTGTTGGGCGCGCAGATATAGTGCCAGATTTCTTCCCACCAAAACTTTTTGAATCTTTGAAAAAGATTCGGTGACATTTCTGGCGCACAAGTGGCCAAATGCTTCCTTTGTTTTCCGGCTGCGCCCATTTTAGTAAGCATGTGTTAATTGCAGGGATTACTTACCTAGACATAGTCCACGGTGACTGATCTTTGAATGAAACATTCATCAAAGATTGCGTTGCTTCAAGCGACACTGATGCGAACAACAGGGCACATTCTAGCATCCAACGCCTGCGGCCGATCCACACCGTTGCTAAGCGTGGTACTATCCTAAAATTTGAGTGAGTTAGAGGCATGGGCAAAAGGCCCAAATTCATATAAAGAGGTTCATTCCGGAGTGCTTCGTTTCTATGAAGAGGCTCCAGCCTGTAAACTTATTCTGAGTTCGATAAACGTGTTTCAACAACTGAAGGACAATACAATTAAATAAAAGCAACCATTTTCTTACCAAATTATTTGGTGTCTCATGAAGCATCATGGAAAGGAACATTTGAAAGGTAATTTGAAAGCTTCCAGTGTGCTGGTGTCTGAGGTAAACGGCTAATATCACGATTTCTTATATACATTTCTGTGATGCCATGTTGATGACTTTGGCATACGACAGCGTCGTTTGTCTTTCTTCGTCCCATGGCCATTTACAAGCTTTTTCTTCTTGTCTCTCAGACTACCTGACCACCTCCGCTGTTGTTTCTTTGGTCTCGTCACTGTGTCTGTCTGTGAAATCCAGTCCCACTTTTTGAGAGCCTTTTTTCGATGTAGGTAGAATCCGGGTTTTGGCTCGCGGTTGTTATGTTTCCTGGGCCAGTTTTTCTGTCTGGGAGATTCCACGACAAATCAACAGGTCAAAAGGTCAATTTTACACTTATCTCTCGAATTCTAACGAAAATGAGTCACAGGGGTTGTCAGCGACGCCGAAGCCTTCTGTGACATTTTCAGATCACTCAGCAAAACAGTTTCGGAGTTACAGCCTCCGGGTTTTTTGAGTTTTGTGGTTGAAGGGCTGCGTTCCGCGGCGTTTTTTTTTTGTTGTTGTTTGTTTTGTTTTGCTACGATGAAAGATAACCGTACAAACTTTCATGTAAAAATGATTTCAAAACCTCCCAGATTACGGGCGTGTCGTGGTTGGAATCGTCATTGCAGAGAAATATTAATATTTCATTATGACATGAATTTTGTAATGTTATCTACAATATTCAGTGCATGCAGAATCATTTTCCTACGCGGTTTTTCACCTTTTCTCATTTGCACGTGATAGAGCAAGGTTTGAAACCGATGATCGAAAAATAAGAAAGTGATCATCGACTGGGAAAGGTGTGGAAACAATTCCACAAGAAGGGACGACGCTTTATTCGCCCCATCTGTCGTCGGCTAATGGCGCAGTATCACCCACGCGTCTCTCCGCACAGGCGGCAGAACATCAGCACATTGTGAGAAGACGCTAAGTTTAACAACACGATGTGTCACATGCACGTGAAAGTCGACTCAGTGGGCAAGTGACACAGTCTAACTCACTCTAACTCATCAAAGCTCTTGAAATCACGCGACTACTTCTTCGTTCCCAGCGCCTGAATCTAACTAACGTACAGTGGCTGAACACTTTACTGGGGTTACTCCGTGAACCTTGAG